CGAACACGAGAACCTGTGGGCTAGCCATAGGAACAGTAGAAATAGCAGCAGTAGCGGTAGGAGAAGCAGGTAGGACGAACCAGGTAGGGTAGGGCGGCGCGGCTCGGTTCAGGTCGGGTCGCGGCTCGGCTGGGTGGCGCGGCTCGGCTCGGGGCGCGCGGCTCGGCTCAGGTCATGGCGGGGACGGGCCGCCCGCTCTCCCTCTTGTGCTGCGGCGGGAACGGGCCGCCCGGGGCCTCTGGGTGGTGGGCACGGGTCGGCGAGGTAGGCACGGGGCCGGTTGGGGCCCTAGAGGGGCGAGCGCGGGGCCGATCGGAGCCTGAGCGGGGCTAGCGCGGGGCCAAACGGGGCCTTGACGGGGTTAGCAAGGGGCCGACGGGGCCTGAACGGGGCTAGCGCGGGGCCGACGGGGCCTGAAACGGGGCCGAAGGGGCCTGAAACGGGGCTAGCGCGGGCCTGATCGGGGCCTGAATGGGGCTAGCGCGGGGCCGACGGGGCCTGAGAGGGGCTAGCGCGGGGCCTACGGGGCCTGAAACGGGGCTAGCGCGGGCCGACGGGGCCTGAAACGGGGCTAGCGCGGGCCGACGGGGCCTGAGAGGGGCTAGCGCGGGGCCGACGGGGCCTGAAACGGGGCCGACGGGGCCTGAAACGGGGCTAGCGCGAGCCGACGGGGCCTGAACGGGGCTAGCGCGGGGCCGACGGGGCCTGAAAAGGGGGCCGACGGGGCCTGAAACGGGGCTAGCGCGGGTCGACGGGGCCTGAGAGGGGCTAGCGTGGGGCCGACGGGGCCTGAAACGGGGCCGACGGGGCCTAAACGGGGCTAGCGCGGGGCCTGAACGGGGCCTTAAAGGGGCCGACGGGGCCTGAACAGGGCTAGCGCGGGGCCGTCAAGAGGGGCCTCTAGGGGCGTGACACGCCGAGGCGCCCTAGGGCACGGGTAGGTAGGTAGGTAGGTAGTGACGTAGTGGTGGGCCCTTAGAAAATTTTCGGTCCTAGGAAGGACCTGCTCTATACCATGTTGGAATCACTGAACAGGAATGAATGAACTAGCAATGAAAAGAGTACAAGTACCTAACCCTAGAATTGTGTACCCCCTATAGGCTAACCCACTGTAGCCTAAACTAACACAACATATATAATGTTTGACAAAGTACAGTCGCACGCTTGATAGTGTTGCCCTTCATGAAAATCGATCGCTTGTAGGTGAGTTGTAGTAGGTAGTTCTAGTGACAGAGGAAACTTTCGAGGTGGTTGGACGAGAATGAGTGGAACTGCAAAGTTCCGAAATGAAGTCGTGGGTGGAGGCCGAATGGCCTCCAACCCTCGTTATGTACTCGGCGAATTGTAATTCGCCTTTGCTTTTCTTCGTTACAGTCAGCTGCGCTTTCACAATACGCATTTTTAGAAAGTGTTACACACTTTCGAAAAAAAAAATATCTTCAATTGTGGTCGGCACCTTACAACATCTGCTACGCATGGGGTCAGTGGCTTGAAAATTCCTGCCGCTAAGGACTTTATTGGCAAGCAGCAAGAAGCGCTTACGTCTGTTCGTCGTTGGTTGCAACTTGCCCAACAACGCCAAAAGTCTTATGCCGACATGAAACGCCGGGAGGTCTCTTTTCAAGAGGGAGACAACGTTTTGTTGAGTACGAAAAACATTCGACTCAAATTACCTGGGGCGCGAAAGCTGTTTCCTCGTTGGATTGGGTCATTCGAGGTCATCAAGCGGGTTGGGGCGGTGGCTTATAAGCTTAAGCTACCAGACACCTTGCAGATTCACAATGTCTTCCACGTGTCTCTGTTAAACAAGTATGTAGCCGATGGCACATACTTACCACCACCAACCATCGTCCTGGGTGAGGAACTATATTATGAAGTCGAGCGTGTGCTGGTGCACCGTGATCGACAACGCGGTCGTAAAACAAAACGTGAGTTCCTCATTAAGTGGAAAGGCTACGGGCCTGAACACAATTCTTGGGAGCCAGAGGAACACTTGACTGAAACAGCAGTTCAAAAAAAAACTGGAAGACTTGGCTCTCCGAGCAGCCCCACAGCCAGTGGATGGTGTTGACCCTGGCCGTAATGTGGTGTGTCGTGCTCACAGCACTCGCCCCAAGAAGCACTCCAAGGCAACGGGGACGTTGCCAACTGGAGGGGGAGAAGTGTAACGCATCGCCTTGATACCCTACGAACAATCCTAGCTATGACTCTCTAAAGCGCTACCTACGTAAGGTAGCGACTTACGGGAAGAGAAGGTTGGAGGAGATGAAGGGTGATTGGTCCACAATTGTGGACAACCACCCACTAAAAGACAAGCATGGTTGGGAACCAACCCAACCTCCACATTGGTTGGAATTCCAACCAATAGCAACTGAACATTTCTGTTACAAGTTACAACATGTAACAAAACAGTCCTGATCACAATTGTTTTGCTCTCATTGGTTGCAAATCCAACCATTGTGCCACCTAAGCAAACTCACCCCTAGGAGCTCCTTGCCCTTGTTGCCATGGAGGAAGTGGAGCTCCCCAAGGAGGTCTAGGAGGGGTGTGAGCTAACCATGCTCATTCTCAACTCCCAACTTCCAATTAACCAAAATGGAAATGGGATTTTCTCTCTAAGTACAAGACTTTTCCCTCACAAGTGCTCTAAACTACTCTCTTGGTGAAGCTACTCCATCACTCTCAAAGCTTCAACTACCAAGCCTTCAAGACTCAAGGCTAGCATAGAGACTAGTTTATCTTGTATGTGCATGTTGTTGGCGTTTTATAAGCCTACTATAGACCCTTTTGTGGGCATTAGTTATAAGCCCGGGTCTTTATTGTCAGTTTAAGGGCGTTTCATTATTTATAGACACTGTGACTCTTCTTACGCTGACGACGCCGAGACTCACAGGTCTACTCAGGGGTACTGTTTCAGCCTGGGCTCTGGAGCTGTTTCGTGGAGGTCCACGCGTTCCTCCTCGGTCTCGACCTCTACCGCTGAGGCTGAGATCTACGCTGGAGCCATGGCTGCACAGGAGCTGCGTTGGTTGACCTTCTTGCTCACCGACCTTGGTGAGCAGCCGAGCTCTGCGCCGACCTTGTTCACTGACAACAAGGCGTCGATTCTCCTCTGTCGAGAGTCGCGACTGGAGAGCAGAGTGAAGCACATAAACGTCAGGTACTTTCTTCTGCGAGAATTGCAGAGGCGTGGACAGGCTCGCTTCGACTTTGTGGAGTCCGAGACCAACATTGCAGACATCTTCACCAAGGCGCTTCCGCCTTGTGACCACCAGAGGTGTTGTGTGCAGTTAGGTCTCGTTGACACAGGTTCTCGCCTTACGTTGTCTTGAGTTCTCTGCTTGCCTTGTTTGTACGCTTTATATATACCTCTGTGAACTCTTGAACTAGCCTTGTGGCTCTTTTGCTTATGCTCGGAGTGTGTGGTGACGTTGTGATCCACCCTGAGCTTTGTTTCGTTGTGACTGGTCTTGTGACCGTACACTTTTGGTTTTGCTTGACACCCCTCACTTCGACTATGGGGGTGTGTCAGATGTGGTAGTCTTAATGAGGTGTGTTATAGGGGGTACAACTGTTAGGGTTAGGTTTATGTACCCCAACCAATCTTAGTCAAACCAACATTTTCATTCTTGACATAATCATAGATAGCGAAAAAAGAAAAGAAAGCCCTGCGCTGGTACCAGTTGTTATGAGTTGTCAAACATAGTTGCGTGCAAAACGAATAACGAAACTTGTGACTGAATGAACTGACAATACAATCAAGGACACGCGATTATATAGCGGGTCAACCTAGCTAGGCGGGAACCTCGGGATCACGAGGTTGGGTGCATGTTTGGCAAAGGAAAACCGAAGGCGACGCGGGGTTGCTTTAGCAGCAAGTAAACCAGCCGAACGTGCACTTTCGAAAGTCGGGGTTTTCCCTTACAAATCTGTGCTCGAGAGGTCAACTGTGGGCTCGTGAGGTATACTGTGGGCTCGGGAGGCAAAGTGTGCACAGTATACCTTCTTTTTTTTTGTAATACAGTTCATTGTGCATAATATTGTAACGCTTGCATATGTGTAAGGATTTTTTTCAGCATTCCTTATCGCGTACTTCAACATCGCGTACAGCAGCATCCGTTGTTCGCCCTTTACGGTTAACGGGGCTTCTCCAACTTCGCACGCACTGTTTTACCAAACCATGCACCGCTGGCCTGGCCGAGTCGGCCTACCCTTCGGGACTAGCCCGAACCTCGATGCCAGCCTAGCACTAGCTAGCTCGCACGCACCGCGTAACCATTGCATGTTTTAGCACATAAGTATTCTCTCATGACTTCGCTCATACTTTGTACTCTTTTGATACCTAGTGCAATCCTCGCTACCGTATCTTGTTCCATTGCACCCGTAATAGTATGTGTGCCTGATTCCTTGCTGGTGGGTGCTTCATGGGCTTCTTCTGTCTGTTCGGGGTCAAGCTGGTGCTTCCATTCAATCCCAAGCCCTCCAAGCACCAGTCAGCCCGCCATTTCGCATTCACCTTCCTTTCTGGCAGACGGGTTACCACCAAATCTGCCTTCCTCGGTCTACTTTGTCGGTCGCTATTGCTGTGAAAGTGTACCGGTCTGGAGGTATTTTCGCAGGCGACTTTCTTCCGCCGCTGTATTAACTGCCGCTATTCGCTCTCTCATTTCGCCTGAAGCGTTGTCGTTTGCGGGACCATTCTCGTCCCGAACCGCCTGCGCCTCGAGCGCGACAAGTCCGGGCGAATCCGTCTCGTCTCCTGTTCATACCTCCGCGGTCCGATTGCAAAGCGTGCCCTTGAACGCATGCCTACAAAAGTTGTGGGTGATTTGGGATCAGCAGATATGATTTCAAGCAGAACAGAACTTCCGATCGCTTCAATTTACGCAAGCTTCCTTTTCGTACTCAACCATTCGAGTTTCTCGGTGTTCCCTATACCGCCTGAACCGACGTGAACAGCCATGGCATCGAAGAACATCCTCGTTATAGCCGTCCTCGCAATGCTCCTCGTCGGCCTCGCGGTTGCCGACAATCAAGATCGCAAGCGGGACGGCACGGGCAACCAGGACCGCGACAGGAAGCGCGACGGTTCGTGCGCGAAATCCGGCACGTGCAGCGGCAACAAGAACGGCGGCAACCCCGGTGGTCGCGGCGGCAATGGCGCTGGGAGGAATTCGGGGAAGAAAGGCACGGGGACGTGCAACAAGAGCGGCAGTGCGAGTTGCGACGGCAGTGGGCGGAAGAACGCGGTGACCGCGAGCGCGGATGCCGCCGTGGCGGCTGCTGACGTGGACGTGCAGGCGTGTGACGGGCCGAAGCAGGCGGGGAAGCTGATGAGCGGATTGCGGAAGAGCGGATTCAACAAGTTCGCCGCGGCGCTCCAGCAGACAGGTGCGCTGCAGCAGACAGGTGCGCTGCAGCAGACAGGTGCGCTCCAGCAGACAGGTGCGCTGCAGCAGACAGGTGCGCTGCAGCAGACAGGTGCGCTCCAGCAGACAGGTGCGCTGCAGCAGACAGGTGCGCTGCAGCAGACAGGTGCGCTCCAGCAGACAGGTGCGCTGCAGCAGACAGGTGCGCTGCAGCAGACAGGTGCGCTGCAGCAGACAGGTGCGCCGCTGCTGGCGCTGCTGCTGGCGCCGCTGCCGGCGCTGCCCCTGTCCTGCTGCTATCTCTTTCCCTCTTCTGATCCCTCTCCCTCTCCCTCTTCCTCTCCCCCTCCCTCTCCCTCTCCCTCTCCCTCTCCCTCTCCCTCTCCCTCTCCCTCTCCCTCTTCCTCTACCGCTGGAGGGGTAACGCTGCTGGCCATCCCACCTGCCCCCTCACTTGCCATCCCACCTGCCATCTCACCTGCCATCCCCGTGTGCCCCAACAGGTCTGGCGGCGGAGTTCCCGGAGGTGATGTGTGCGGGCGGAGTGACGCTGCTGGCCATCCCCGACGTGCCCATGGGGCAGCTGCCCCCGGCGGTGCGAGGGGACCCGGTGATGCTGAGGGAGCAGCTGCTGCTGCACGTCGTCAAGGCCGCCCGCCCCTACTCGCGCATGCAGGCGCGCACCAAGAACTACAAGGTGAGAACAGGCATCGCTGCTGCACTTTTCCAACCACCTTACATACTTGTTTTGCAAGCAAGCAGCGTCACTGCTGCACATGGAAATCACATTGCACTCTCGTTTTTAACTCTGGTTCTCTTCGTGTGCAGCACTTTCCCAAGAACGTATTCCCTGTCACCCACCCCTCGCCCTCCTCTCCCTTATTCCACTCTCACTATCTCCCCCACCCCTCTTCCCTCGCCCCTCTCCTTCCCAAACCCCTCTCTCTCACAGTTTGCGTGTGCGGCGGGGGCGGGGTCAGGGCGGCTGGTGAAGCAGAGCCAGGGCAGCGCGCCGCTGGTGCTGCGAGTGGGCAGGGGGTGGGGGCAGGCAGCAGCCGTGACGCGCCCCGATGCCTTCCGGTGCACGGGGGGGGCGGTGCACGGAGTGAACTGCGCGCTGGGCTTGGGGCGCATGGGCAGGCCGGGCAGGCGCGTGCCTCTGGGGCAGTGCCTGCGCAACGGCAGGGACCAGGATGATGACTAGACGAATGGTAGGAGTGTGGGAGTTAGTGGGAGAACAGGGGATTAGGCGGTTGGTATAGGTGAGGGGAGGCTGAAGCATGTGTGGGTGCATGCATGGCAGGGGTAAGCATTGGTGCTGTTCAATAAGTGTTCAGTTTGCGTGGGATGATAGTGTGTGAAGCTGCTGGCTGCAGGAGAGGGTGTACTAGGGTGACTGAGGGATTGGCGAAAGGGGGTTGGGGAAAGCAGGGTGGGTGCAGGAGTTTGCATTTCATGTTTCTACCAGGGTTTTGTTCGAGGACGTTCTTGCGTGTGTTTAAAAGCTCCTCCATCTGTTTTCTAGGGCATGGAACAGCAAGCAACGCCATGTAAAGCTTGCTTTTCCACGCCTTGTGAAACAAGGAGTGAAGGTCGTCGTGATAGATGTAGGGAATCTAGTATTTGTGTATATTTTGTTGTTTTCATACTCCAATTTACCACATCATTGTCAAATGTTGTAGTCTTAGTGATGTGTGTTATAGGGGGTACAACTGTTAGGGTTAGGTTTATGTACCCCAACCAACACTTTCATTCTTGTCATGGTATCACCTAGGTTAGGATCCTGTGGGATCCCGTTCCTCTCGTTCACGTCCGTAGCGCCCGAGCCTGTCCCGTACCCTAGTGCCCGTTACGCCCGTACTGTCCCTTAGCGCCTATTGCGCTCGTCTCTCTCGTGCCCAAGCGCCCGCTGCGCCTGCCGTCGCGTCGCCCCTGCTGTCCCGTCCTGTCCCGTCGCCCCTGCTGTCCCGTTGCCCCTGCTGTCCCGTCCCGTCGCCCCTGCTGTCCCGTCCTGTCGCCCCTGCTGTCCCGTCCCGTCGCCCCTGCCGTCGCGTCGCCCCTGCTGTCCCGTCCTGTCCCGTCCCGTCCCGTCCCGTCGTCCCTGCTGTCCCGTCGCGTCGCCCCCTGCTGTCCCTTCTGTCCCGCCGCGTTGCGCCGTCCGTCCCGTCCCGTCCCGTTCGCGTCGCGCTTCCCGTCCCGTCCCGTCGCACGTGCCCCGTGCGCCCTGCCCGTCCGTCGCGCCCCCGCTGCGCCCTGCCCGTCTGTCGCGCCCCGTGCGCCCTGCCCGTCCGTCGCGCCCCGTGCGCCCTGCCCGTCCATTGCGCCCCGTGCGCCCTGCCCGTCCGTCGCGCCCCCGCTGCGCCCTGCCCGTCCGTCGCGCCCCGTGCGACCTGCCCGTCCGCGCTTGTCGCGCCCGTCCCTACGAGTCGCGTCCTGTCCAGTCACGTCGCACGGTCTGTCACGCCCTACGCAGGCCCTTTAGGCGTTTAGGGTTTCGGCAGCAGCAGTATCCACCTCTACGCTTCCGCTATGGCGACCCCTAGGGTCCTGCGCTTTGACGCTGAGGGTAGGCCGCTCGAGTTCTCGGTCTGGCTCATGCGTGCGCGCCGCCTCCATGAGAGCCAGGTTCAGGCACACGAGACTCTGTGGGCGCACGCTTCCGGTGACCTACCTGAGCCCGCTGTCCATGCACCCTTAGCAGCTGACCCCACACCTGCAGACAGTGACCGTTATGCACGCGAGCGTGCCGACGTGACAGCGTGGAAGTCGCGTGACGCTGCGGCCTGCATCGCCCTCAGCAACCTCCTCCCTGAGTCTGAGGAGACCCACTTCACTCAGGTTCGCACGTCTAGTGAGTTCCTGACTGCGATCAAGGCCCGCTACGCTACTCCCACCACTGTCTCTCTTGGTCGCCTGTTCCTTCCGTTCCTGTTTCCTGACCTCGCCTCGTTTGAGCGCACTGCTGACTTGATCACTCATCTGCGCTCGCTCGATTCTAGCTACCGCGCTGCTTGCACTGACGCACAGCTTGCACTGCTCCCTCCCCCCATGGCGATTCCTATTTATTTCATCGCCACTAGCCTCCCTGGCCGCCTTGTCAGAATGTGATGTTTGTGTAGCCTGCAGTGGGGTACTCTGTAGCGAGTACAACCCGAATTAGGGTTTGCTATATGTACTCTACTGCATGCTAGTGAAAACCCCTCTTTTGTGTTTATCATTCCTGACTCTTGATTCTGACATGGTTTCAGAGCAGGTCGATCCCCTTGGGTCGATCCTGTGGGTGGGCCCGCCACCTAATTGCTTCCGCTGATGTTCTGCTTCTCGCGCGCCTCGGGCGCGCGCCGTCTTCTTCCTGCCGTGCGCTCGGGGCGCGCGGCGCGTTTCTGCCCGCCGTGCGCCCCGAGGCGCGCGGCGGTTTTCTGCCGTGGGGGACCCGCGCGCAGCACCCCGCCCTTCCCGTCGCGTCGCCCTGCAGGCCGCGCGCGGGTCTGCAGCGCGCGCGCGGCCCGTCTGCCCGTCGCGCGGCCTTGGGGAGCCGCGCGCGCCCCCCGCCCGTCCGTCGCGGCGCCCTGGGGAGCCGCGCGCGCCCCCCCGCCCGTCCGTCTTGGCGTCCTGGGGAGGAGCGCGCGGCCCCTCCTGTCCCGTCCCCCCCCCCCCCCCGTGCTGCCCATTCCTCCCGTGCCGCCGTGCGTTCCGCGGTGGTGGGGGGTGTGGGGTGGCAAGCATGGTATCGAGCAGGTTCCCTCGTGGGAACTGTTCCTAGGGCCCACCGTTTTTTTTTTTCCTGCCCGGAGCGCACTCTGCCCCTACCCGGGTCGCGCTCCCCTCTCTCTTGGCCCCTAGTGGCCCCTTTAGCCGCCCGTCACGGCCCTTAGCCGCCCGCGCGCCGCCCGTCCCGGCCCCTTAGACGCCCGCGCGCCGCCCGTCCCGGCCCCTAGACGCCAGTGCGCCGCCCGGCCCGGCCCCTAGACGCCCGCGCGCCGCCCGTCCCGGCCCCTAGACGCCCGCGCGCCGCCCGTCCCGGCCCCTAGACGCCCGCGCGCCGCCAGTCCCGGCCCCTCGACGCCCGCGCGCCGCCCGTCCCGGCCCCTCGACGCCCGTGAGCCGCCCGTCCCGGCCCCTAGACGCCCGCGCGCCGCCCGTCCCGGCCCCTAGACGCCCGCGCGCCGCCCGTCCCGGCCCCTCGACGCCCACGCGCCGCCCGTCCCGGCCCCTAGACGCCCGCGCGCCACCCGGACCGACCCCTAGACGCCCGCGCGCCGCCCGTCCCGGCCCCTCGACGCCCGCGCGCCGCCCGTCCCGTCCCCTCGACGCCCGCGCGCCGCCCGTCCCGGCCCCACGCCGCCCTACCTGCGGCCCACTCACCGCCCTACCTGCGGCTCGCCCGCCGCCCTAACTGCGGCCTGCCCGCCGCCCCACTTGCGGCCCTACCGCCCCCCTACCTACGGCCCGACCGCCGCCCTACCTGCGGCCCAACCGCCGCCCTACCTGCGGGAGCCGCCTAGCAGCAGAACCGCCGGGAGCCGAGCCGCCCTGCCGCCGAGCCGCCCGGGAGCCGAGCCGCCCTGCCGCCGATTCGCCCGGGAGCCGAGCCGCCCTGCCGCCGAACCGCCCGGGAGCCGAGCCGCCCTGCCGCCGAGCCGCCCGGGCGCCGAGCTGCATTGCCGCCGAGCCGCTGAGCAGCCGAGCCGCCCTACTGCCGGGCCGCCCGACCTGCCCTGTCCGGTGAGCACAGCCCCACTGTCACTGCGTGCCCTTCCCCTACTGCTTGCACTGCTCGTCTGTCGTCGTCATGGCTACCCCTAGCGTCCTCGCTTTTGACGCTGAGGGTCGAGCCATTGACTTTGAGGTCTGGGTCGACGACCTGCAGCTGTTCTTACAGTGCGATAGGGCGGACGGTCTTTCCCTCTTTGACCTCACCTCTGGCGCCTCTCCTGCCCCTGCTACTGATGCTGACCCCACTGTTCGCTCTCAGTGGGCCACCCGCGATGCTGCTGCACGTCTTGCTGTGCGTCGCCACCTGCCTACCACTGAGCGCGCGCACTTTAGTCAGTACAAGAGTGCTCAGACCTTGTACGACGCTGTAGTTGCGCGCTACTCTTCCCCTGCCACTGCTGCCCTGAGCCGCCTCATGCTACCGTACCTCTTTCCTGACCTTGCTGCCTTTCCCACCGTCGCTGACCTCATTACGCACCTCCGCACTAGTGACACTCGCTACCGCGCCGCCCTTCCTGCTGAGTTCTGCGCCAAGAACCCCCCCCCCATGTACATCACTCTCTATTACATCGTCACACGCCTCCCTGACTCCCTTCGCGTAGTCAGGGACCACTACCTCTCGGTCTGTCCCACCACTCTCACTGTCGACCTCCTCGAGAAGTCCCTCCTGGCGGCGGAGAAGAGCATCGTCGCTGTAGGAGCCTCTCGTGGTGACCCTCGCACCCCCATCTTTGAGGGGTGTTCTCCTTCCCCCCTGCTGCCCTCTGTTGCCTCTGCTGCTGCTGCCGACCTGCTTGGTCTTGAGTCGGTCTGCGCGGCGTCTGCCCCTAGCGGGAGACGCCGCCCTGGCAGGGGCAAGGGGGGCAAGGGCGCGGGTGGAGCTGGCGGGGGCGGTGGAGGAGGCGGTGGAGGCGGAGGAGGGAGTGGGGGTGGCGGTGGGAGTGGTGGCGGGGGCGGTGGTGGAGGTGGCAGCAGCGGAGGAGGAGGCGTCGGTGGCGGCAGCGGTGGGAGCGGAGGCAGCGGTGGTGGTGGAGGTGGAGGCAGCGGTGGCGGAGGGGGTGGAGCTGGTCGGGGTGGTGCCCCGCAGCGTAGCGGCCCTGGTGGTGGCCAGCGTCAGCAGCAGCAGCAGCAGCAGCAGCGTTCGCGGGACATCCCCCCGCCCCACCAGCTCCGTGAGTGGTACACGCAGCGTCAGCGGGGTGGGGGTTTTGGTCCATGCACCTACGTCCTTCGTTCCGGTGACCGAGCGGGTGAGCAGTGTGGGGGTGCGCACCCCACTCAGCGCTGCTTTGCCCGCCTGACGGACGCTTGGCGTCAGCAGTTCCCCGAGGCCAGTGAGATTCCCCGTTGGGGAGAGCTGTCTAGGGCTGGCGTAGCTGTCTTTGATCTTGGCTCTGATACCATGAGAAAAGTAGAACGAGAATGAATGAACTATGAATGAAGTGAGTACATATGGGAAACCCTAATTGGGTTGTACCCCCTATGGGA